AAAAAAAAAAAAAAAAAAAAAAAAAAAGAAGAAGAAGAAGAAGAAACATGTCATAGAACACAGAATATCTGATTTTTTTTTCTTCAGGAAACATATAATTTACAGTAACTGGATCTTACATAAACTCTAAATGCATGTACCCCCTTTTCATGCAGGTCAGAAATATAATATGTCACAGTTGTAGAATATTCTATCATAAGATTATTCTGTGTTTGTTTTGTTTTAGATTTTTGGGATGGGTTTCTGTCATCCTGGCTGTCCTGGAACTTGCTATGTAGACCAGGCTGGCCTCACCTCACAGGATCCTCCTGTTTCTGCCTCTGTAGTGCTGGGATTAAAAGTATGCACCACAACCAATTATTCTGTCTTCTAACCAATCTTTTACTGTAAAAGAGAATCTCCTTAATATTTTGATGATAAGCAAACTATTAGAATATATACTTCTAGGAGAAGGCATAAGGAGTTCTTTCTTCTCCCCCCACTGAGACAAGGACTTGCTATGTAGTCTTGGCTATCCTTAAACTTGTGACAATCCTCCTGTCTCAGCTTCTTGAGTGCTTATATCAAAAGCATATGGCACCAAATACTCTAGGATAAGCATTTCAAAGGACTTTGGGAAGTATTATTAACCTGCCTTTCAGAGATGGGACTAATTTTTCTTTTCACTAGCCAAGTGTGAGGCATGAGGTAACTCGGTGCCTTAGGTTCCTCAGACATGTTTTTTTTTTTTTTTTTTTTTCTTCTTCGTCTTCTTTCTTTTTTAGAGCAGATCATGGAGCCAAACTGCTACCCTAACTTTCATTTCTCTGGTTCCTAGCCAAGCTAAATTTCTAAAAACTAGGTATAATAGTCCTCTGTTCCCTGTTTCATGATTTCCTTATGTGTCCTTTGCCAGATCTTCTCTTTATAAAAGGTAATTTTTTACTTTTTCTGAACTGACCTTCAAAACCATTAACACTTTGAAAGCATAAATGGCAGATGTGTCAAACAAATCCCTGGGATTATCAGAACGATTAAAAATCCAGTCTTTAGTTTCAGCTTTTTTCTTTTGGTTTTTCAGTATTTGCAGCCAACAGTGCTCCTGGCTTTTCCATGTATCACCTGGTTTGGACGTTGTTATGTGCAACAGGCACAACATCTGACTAAGTAAAATTGGGACAATCTGGGCAGGACTACATGAGGTAATGACAATAATGGCTTACAATGCATTATAATTACATCAATGTTTTTCTTTAGAAGAAGACTGTAGAGAAGAGGCCAAGTTAGGAAATGGGACAGTTTTTTTTTTTTTTTTTTTTTTTTTTTATAGATTGAAGGTACACACACTGATGGGTGAGGACATTATCAGATAAGTTGTGCTTATAATATTTTTATGTCTGTACGAGATTTATAACAACCCATCAAATAAGATGAAATGCTATGAGTCTACATTTAATTCCAGCACTTGGCGGCTCCAGAGTCAAGGTCATCCTCAGACTTCAGCTACATAGTGTGTTCAAGGCTACACTAGGATACAAACAATGCCAGGAGCAATAGCACAAGGCAGTAAACTCAACAGTGGGGAGGCTTAGGCAGGATGATTTCAAGAAATCTGAGGCTAGTATGTAAGTGTGAGATACTGTTTCAAAAAAACAACAACAAAAACAAGGTCTTTTTAAAATTTATTCTATATGTCTTTTATATTATATATTTTGATCTCATTCATTTCCCCATTCCTCTGCATCTACCCTCCACCCCTGTACCCCCCCCCCCAATAAAACAAAATTTAAGAGAAAAAAGAAAAAATTTCAAAAGGGAGAAAATTTAAAAATCTCATCATGGAAGCTGTAGTATGTGTGACACAGTGAGTCATGCAGTAAACCCTTTGTCCATACATTTTTACTTGCAAGTGTTCTTTGCAAAGAGTCATTGGTCTGGTTTGAGGCCCCTGGTTTCTACTACACTGTCAATGCTGGGGTCTCACTGGGACTCTTGGATATCCTGTTGTTTCCCTGTGTTGTGGAGATCCTGGAGCAGGTCAGGTTCCTTCACATGCTACAGCAGATCATAGATGAGGTGGATGTTGGGGTGGGCCAAATCATAACCCTGGTTCTGGGCCTGGGCAGCTGTACAGTTGCCCCCAGATGAGAAATGGAGACAGTTTTCCCATGCTTACAACTTCAGGGCTGGCTCACCCACACCTTTGCTAACAGGGATGGCTCTGTTGTGCTGCTCCAGAGAGGTACAGGGCCTGCTCTCCTGAGTGTTATAACTGGTAACACAGGGCCAGCCCTCCCACCTGCTTCAGGCATTGATGGGCTGGGGGAAAGGCACTCCCATCAGTCCATGCTACCACAAGACAGATCATGAATGGGGGACATCTCTTCCACGCTCACAACTTTAGGGCTGGCTTACCCACATCTCTGCTAACAGGGTTGAGTCAAAGCCTTTTGAAGCCCAAGCTAGCCTTTGACTTGCTACATAGCCAAGAATTGCTAGAATTGCTGTGTCTACTGCCTCTGCCTTCTGAGTACTAAGATTACAAGTAGGCCACCCTGGCTGGGAAAACTCCTTCGTAGGATAGGATGTTAACTAATAGTTGCAGCAAGTTCCAAAATTAGGAAATAACCATTTAAAAAATTAAATTTCTTTATTTGTGTTTGTGTGTATAGCTGTACGTGCCACAGCATCACATGGAAGCCAGACAACAACTTTCTGGAGTCAGTTCTCTATTATGTAGGACCCAAGGATAGAACGAACACAAGTCATTAGGCTTACGAGTAGACAGTATGGCACTTTCTAACATGCATGGAGACCTAGAGTTCTGTCATTTACAGATGGTATCTTGGACAAGGCACTTGACTGAGCCTCCTCTTCCTTATCAGAATGACAGAGATAGCAATGCTTCCCAGCAGACTACGAGGGAAGTAAACTCTATAGTACCTACGGGTATGTGGAAGAAGCTGAACAGACATGAGCCTATTCTCATGGTTGACACAATCCTAACAATAACTTGAATCTGGGCCTGAACTGATCATTCCCAGGATGTATGCTGGCACAGCCCTACACTAAGTAGGCAGCTCTTCTACAGTCTGCACAAGTTGACATGTTTTCAAGTTCAAATGAGAAGGGTTTGTCAATCTAAATTCAAAGGGACATAATTTGGTTAATCCTCAGCTGCTGTGTCCAATCACTATTCAATCACACCCCCTCTCATGGCAGGCTGTCCCTCCAGGCAGCTAGTGTCACTAACAGTGCTACCTGGGCCTCTCCAGGTTCATGAGTATTGATTCCATCTGTCCAATTTGCAGGCTGCAGGACGTGTCCAAGCAACCGTGTATGCTGCCCTTGGCCCTGGAGGGCAGACAGTGGTCTGGTAAGATGGGGAGAGGAGAGTGGCTGGGAATTGGCCCTGGGGCTGCTAACCCAATCAAAGAAATGGGCAATTCACTTCAAAAACTTGGAGACTAAAGAGGGTAAGCAATCCAAGATAGTGACTCATCTACAACCTTGAGATGATTCCCTTCGTTTCTGATAAAACTCAAAAGGCAGCAGCCCCATTGAGGGAAGATAGGCCTTAAGGATGTGACTGTTTCGTGCCAACCATTGCTCCAAACACATTGCCAGATGGCTATGAGAATTTCTCTCCAGCAATGGTCACACCTTACAGAGCACCAGCACAGAGCCCTAAGCACCAATCTTTAGTTAGTACCTCCTTGTAGAAGCCAGCCCAGCCTGGGTTAGATAACAATTCACTTCTAGCTTGGAGGCCCAAAGATACTGCACTGTTGGTAAAGCAACACAGACAGGCTAGGGGGTGAGCCAGGCTTGAGAAAGCAATCACAATGCTGCTGAGTACCAGCTTAGCTGTAAGTCATATACAAGAATTGTCAAGAAGTTCACAGCAATGAAGGGATGCTGGGAAGGAAGCGATCTCTGCTTCTTTTCTGCTACAGGGGAAGAAACTCCCTGATCCAAAGCAAGAGTGGGAGGAGAAGTGAGCACAGGGAGAGAGTGGGTCAGTTAGTATGAACAGTAAGGA